AGAAAATCGTGAGTTTAAATCTTTACATTCACATGTTGTATTAAAAAATCTCTCACCAATGCCCTATATCTTTCTTCACAAATTCCTCCACCTTGATATTTAACATGATATCATAGTAGGAGATTCTGTATTCAAATTTCTATAATTTCATTTCTCTCATTTAGAAGTGTTCAGACATTTATAAAAGATCAAGGTGCATGATGTTCCAATCTTCATACGTAAACTTTTCAACTCAACTAGTTAGAACATATCTTATCGACTAAAAATTCAGAGTCCCCACGTATTATTGAACTTAAAAAAAATATTAAGGTGTAACTAATGAAGGCCTATCTTGTATGCACTTACCAGCATTTTCTAAAAAATAAAAGAAATATTTTCTTTTGATTATTTTGTCATTCCTCATTGGATACGCAGGATTTGACTTTATTTTTAATTATAAAATATAATTGAGGTAATATTTGTGTATATAATATATATATATATATATATATATATATATATATATATATAGACATATTTTGGTTGAATTTCGTAATAGCTCGATAGATACAGATGCTTGAGCATTTTTGGATGTCCCACCTTATCCAAGGAAATTTGAAGGGCCATGGGGTCATTTTCTAAAATATCTACAAATTTTTATTTTTATAAAAGTAATTATAAATACACTCTTTTGTTTTTAAAACTGCAATATCTTCTAAAAAATTACCAATCACTGATTATAATTTGTATATTTTTATTTTATTTAATCACGATGAAAGATTTTAATCATAACTGTTAATAATTAATCTAACTTTGATTGTTTATAACAATCATAATAATCTCTAATTGAGGTAGGTTTTACTTTTCACTATCCAAGAATAATTTTTTTTTCTATGCCTGTAAACCAATTCAAGTGTGTGTTTCATAAGAAAACCAATAATATTTTATTTTATTTTACTCAATTAATTTATGTTGTAATTTAAAACTTTTAATGCTAATTTGATATCGTAAGAATGTCATTTTACCAAGATATATATATATAGTTGAATAAATCTAGAAAACATATATAATTTCCTAATTTTTGTAAATAAACATTACAAAATAAATACAGCCATCTTTCATTTTCTGAAAAAAGAAGAAAAAAAAACCTTTCATTTTCAGTCTAATGTCTACTAGAAATAACTGACTACTATTCTCTTGCACTGGATTTTGACTTGTTTAATTCAATGAACATTTTAAATTATTCTGATAACAATTTTATTTATTTCGTATTTCTATGATCATCTGACTTATAAAGCTATTGACCATTAATTAGATTTATGTTAAATAATCATTTATATGATTTGAGTTCAGTTTTCTTATATATATATATATTAAATAATCTAATTCCCCTGTAACAATTTTTTTTTCTGCGTCCACGCGACTTTTTTGTTTGGTCAAATAGAATTAATTTATTTACCAAGTGTACCTTCTATTTTGGTTTATTTTGAGTGTTGTAGTCTCAATTTTTTTTTGTCCGTTTGAGTGTATTTACTTTCAAAACTTCCATTTTTTTATATCTACTTTTTAAAAATTACCATTTTAATCTCTATTGATGAAATTTTAACAGGAATTTATGGTTGTATTTTAGAAAATTTAGTAAGTGTTATACTAAAATTTTAATAACATAAAAAATAAAAATAAAAAGAGAAAAATAATTTTTAGAAGATACTAGTACGGAAAATAAAATATAAAAATACAAAAACCAACGAAGACAAGCACTATTAATATTCATGGGTTTCATCTCAAAACCAATTTGCGATGAGAGAGTAGTTCATGTTTATTATAAATGTCTTTTTTTTTCATCCTTAACATCTCCACTCAATCGTAATTCATGGGTTCCATCTCAAAATCAATTGGCAATGAAAGAAATAGTCTATGTCTATTATAAACTAAGGCAAAATACGTTTTTGGTCCCGCAGGTTTGAAGTAGGTGTCTAGTTGGTCCTTGAAGTTTCAAAATGAATACTTTTAGTCCCTAACATTTGAGGTAGGTGTCTAATTGGTCCCTGAAGTTTCAAAACAAACACTTTTGATCATTGAGATTTAAAGTAGGTGTCAAATTGATCCCTGAAGTTCTAAAATGAACATTTTTGATCCATGAAATTTGAGAAATAGTTCTAAATGGCCTCTGATTTTTTTACTGTTAATTAACTAATATTAAAACGACGTGACAAATTACAATTAAATTGTTTATTGTAGTTGTTGATGTGGTAAATTCTATAGTTAAATAATATATGTTCGATATAAATGGCGAACGACGACGACAAAGACGTGGTGGTCATCGAAAAAGGGTAGGAAGAAGAGAGAGGGAGAGATGAGGAGATGAGAGATAAAGTATCATCACTCACACATATATTATTTAATTAATATAATTTGTCACATCAGCAACTACAATAAACAATTTAATTGTAATTTGCCACATCATTTTAATATTAGTTAATTAACGGTAAAAAAAAATCAGGGACAATTTAGAACTATTTCTCAAATTTCAGGGACCAAAAATGTTCATTTTAAAACTTCAGAGACAAAGTTGACACCTACTTTAGACCTCAAGGATAAAAAATGTTCGTTTTGAAACTTTAGGGATGGAGTAGATACCTATCTCGAGCACCAAAAATGTATTTGTCCATAAACTATTATAAATTCTTTTTCTTTTCCTCAACGTGGGAACCTACGACTGAGGGTGAATTTTGGAAGAATTTCGTGAAAGCCCGCAAAAACCGATGAGACTAAAGTGAGAGACATCAATTCCGAGGTGTGTGTACTTTATAAAAACGAAGCGTCGACACGTCGCCACGTAATCCTCTCCCCGCCTACTCTACATGGATTTTACAAAGGCAAAACGCCAATTAGCTACGAGCTGTTCAATAACTAATAATTATTATTATTAACTCGTCGTTTCCAAAGGAAAAAAAACAACAAGAAAAAGGTTCTATTTAATCACAACTGTCTAATTTCTCAGCTTTACAAATTATTTCATAGATTTTTAATTTTTAAAATTTTTAGTCTTAGTACATTGCCAAATTTCTAACTTTTATGTTATTTTAGTTACTCAATTATAAAAATATTTATTAATATAAATTTTACTCAACGATAATTGATACTTAATTCTGACCAAGAAGTTATGAGCTCTTCTTAGACTCAAAAGAAAAAAAAGTGTAATATTATTTAATAAGTTCTCACAATTTTTTTATTTAGTATTTAATAAATTTTTGTATTTTAAAAGTACCCTAATAAATTATTAAACTCCCTCACTAAAGGTTATATTTACACCAAATTAATTATGTATCTAATAGATCAATATAATTTAAGAAATATCAAATAAGTTTGGATTTTTTATTTTCATTTTTTTATAATAAGTTAGATAGTTATTAGATATAAAATTGAAAATTTAAAGATTTATTAGATACAAAATTAACGGTTGAGAAACTAATTAGACATTAGAGATATAAGATTTAAAATTTAAAGATTTATTATTAATACTTTTTTTTTAGTTTAAAGAGCTACTATGGATGAAAATTTAGGGCGGTAACATTCCCAATTATTGTTCTCGTTTCCAAAGTTTATTAAAAAACTTAAGCATAATAACTAAATATGTTTATTGTTTCTTATTTTTTTTGGAAACATTCTCAAAATTGTATTGAAATTTTGGAAACAATCAAAACAAACTTGTTGTTTCCGTTTCTAATTTGTTACAATACATAAATATAAATATTATTTGATCATCCTTGAATATTCATGAGTATTAGGCTATACGATTCTATTTTCTTTATTAAAAATTAAAAAATAGAAAAAATAACGAGAACGTTACTAAGCCTTTAGTAACTTTAAGGTCTATTTGGTAACGTTCCCATTTATTGTTTTTGTTTCTCATTCTGAGTTTTTTAGAAATGTAAACACTTGATAATTTTTCATGTTTCTTGTTTCTCATTTTTAGAAAACGTCAGAATTGTGTAGAAATTTCAGAAACAGCAAAATCAAGTTTTTTCTTATATTTTTTTAAACTTAGATAAAAATATTATCGATCTTTCTACTTATAAAATGCATAATAAATATAAAAAAAATAGATATAACATGCATGTTATATATATTTTTAAATTTTGAAAATTTGAGAAAATAGAAAAGTTACCGAATATATTTGGATTTTTTTTAAATAATTACTTTTTAAAAACAAATGGCAAAGGTAGCTTATGATCAAAACTAATTCCAAAAATAGGGTAGGTAAATCGCAGTCAGATGAAATCGCGATCTTAGGCCGCGATTTCACTGGCTGCGACTTCGGTTTGACGTGGCTCCCCGTGTAGCCAATGGCTGCGACTTCAGCGGAAAAAAAAGGAAAATATGATTGAAGTCGCATGCAATGCACGCGACTTCAATAAGAGGAAGTCTCGTACATCGCCTGCGACTTCCGTTTGGAAGTCGCGTCCACGTCAACGACAACCGACCCGTCACATAGACAATACACGTTGCACGAGAGTAGCGTCCATTGTATGGGAGTTTTGACCCCCCTTCGACCTAACCTATTTTTGTAATAGTTTCAAAAACCTAACTTACTTTTGTATTTATTTATTTAATTTACATTTATTTAGTTATTATTTTTAAAATACCATTATTTTTGTAATTTCTTTTTAAAATGTCATTATTTTAAAACTTAACCCAATATATTTCTCTTTCTCTTTTCGATAAAATAAAAATTTCAAACATAATTTTATTTTTCTTGTCAAACATAATTTATATATAAATATATATCTGAGGGACAAAAACCCGTCCCCCGTGGGTCCCACTCTCCAGTTCGATGCTCGTGGCAGAGGCAATGGCAATGGCGGACTCACCAACGGGGCAACAAAAAAAAATGGAAAAGAAAAAAAGAAACGGATAAGAACAAAGAGCGAGCGAACGATGGCAGATTATCCGGTGCTTTCCAGTGTACCAAAATCCAAAGCCACTCTTTAATTCTCTGCCGTCCGATCTGACCCCATCCGATCATTCTCCCTCTCTCTCTCCTCTTTTGGGTCACTGAATTCAGAATATGCTTCTTCCAACCACTTGAACGTTTTTGTAAATCCTCTCCAAATTGGCATATTTTTAATAAAAGTTGAAATTTGGATATTTTGGCTTCTGGGTCTCTGCGGGTTTTCATTTCAGTACTGTTTGTGTGTCAATACACGAGAGAGAGAGAGCAAGTGAGTGACTGTTCTTCCTTTTCTCCTTTCTTTCTTGTCTGGGTTTGCTCGGAAGCTTCCTAGAACCAAACCCCATAATCTGGTTCCCCAAATTTCTGCTTCTTTTCCAATTTTTCTCCAACCCCAGATTTCAGTTTCTGGTTCTGCTTCGATTTTGGGGGGTTTTAAAGAATACCCATTTCGTCTACTTCATGGATTGATCTCTGAAAAATCCGTCCCCAAAGGCCCAAACAATGGTTTCCAGGTCGTACTCTAATTTACTCGAGCTCGCCACCGGAGAATCGCCGTCTTTCGGCCGTATGAACCGCCAGATTCCGCGGATTATGACCGTCGCCGGCTTAATCTCCGACGTCGACGACGACCCATCGGAGAGCGTGTCGTCGGAGCCGTCGTCCTCCTCCGCCCCACGCGACCGGATAATCATCGTCGCCAATGAGCTCCCCATCAGAGCCCACCGGAAATCCACCGCCTCCGCCGGCTGGACCTTCAGTTGGGATGAGAATTCACTCCTCCTCCAGCTGAAAGATGGCTTAGGAGACGATGATTTTGAGGTAATTTATGTTGGTTGTCTTAAGGAAGATGTTCATCCAAATGAACAAGATGAGGTCTCTCAAATACTTTTGGAAACTTTTAAATGTGTTCCCACATTTCTCACACAAGATCTTTACACTAGATATTACCATGGCTTCTGCAAGCAGCAGCTATGGCCTCTGTTTCATTACATGCTCCCGCTGTCGCCCGACCTCGGCGGTCGGTTTAACCGGCCGCTGTGGCAGGCTTATGTTTCTGTGAATAAGATCTTTGCTGATAGGATTATGGAAGTGATCAATCCTGAGGATGATTTTGTTTGGATTCATGATTATCATCTTATGGTGTTGCCTACTTTCTTGAGGAAGAGATTCAATAGGGTCAAGCTTGGGTTCTTTCTGCATAGTCCATTCCCGTCCTCGGAGATATATCGGACGCTCCCAATTCGGGAGGAGCTCTTGCGGGCCCTCTTGAATTCGGATTTGATAGGGTTCCATACGTTTGATTATGCTCGGCATTTTCTATCTTGTTGTAGTCGAATGCTCGGTCTAACGTACGAGTCGAAGCGGGGGTATATCGGGATAGAGTACTACGGTCGAACGATTAGTATCAAGATCCTTCCTGTTGGGATTCATATGGGTCAGCTTCAATCTGTTTTGAGTCTTCAGAAAACAGAGGAGAAAGTTAGTGAGCTTATTAAGCAATTTCGCGATCGGGGTAGGATAATGTTGCTCGGAGTTGACGACATGGACATATTCAAGGGGATAAGTTTGAAGCTATTGGCTATGGAGCAGCTGTTGATCACACACCCTGAGTGGCAGGGGAAAGTAGTATTGGTGCAGATCGCCAATCCTGCGAGAGGCCGAGGGAAAGATGTGAAAGAAGTTCAGGACGAGACGAAGGCAACTGTTAAGCGGATTAACAAAATGTTTGGGAAGCCTGGGTATGAGCCAGTTGTGTTGATTGAGGAACCACTAAAATTCTACGAGAGAATCGCATATTATACTGTTGCCGAGTGTTGTTTGGTCACTGCTGTTCGAGATGGTATGAATCTCATTCCGTATGAGTACATTGTCAGTCGCCAAGGAAACGATAAGTTGGATCAAATTTTGGGGTGTGAATCATCAGCACCAAAGAAGAGTATGTTGGTTATCTCCGAATTTATCGGGTGCTCTCCATCCTTAAGTGGAGCAATCCGAGTTAATCCCTGGAATATTGATGCTGTAGCAGACGCAATGGAATGTGCATTGGAGATTGAAGAGGCCGAAAAGGAGCTTCGCCATGAGAAGCATTTTAGATATGTCAGCTCGCACGATGTCGGGTATTGGGCTCGGAGTTTCCTTCAAGATTTGGAGAGGACTTGTAGGGACCATGTGAGGCACCGATGTTGGGGTATCGGGTTTGGTTTAAGTTTTAGAGTTGTAGCTCTTGATCCCAACTTTAGGAAGCTCGCAATGGAGCACATAATTTCAACTTACAAGAGAACGAAATCTCGAGCTATTCTTCTGGATTATGATGGTACTTTAATGCCTCAAGCTTCGGTTGACAAGAGTCCTACTTCGAAATGCCTCGAAACTCTTAATGCCTTATGTCGGGATAAGAACAATATGGTATTCATTGTCAGTGCAAAAGGACGAAAGACACTTGCTGAATGGTTTGCGCCATGTGAAAAGATCGGCCTTGCTGCCGAGCACGGATATTTTATCAGGTGAATCTCAGATTATGAATAACTTTCCTCGTATTGTTTCATTGATCGTACATCGTGTTGATTTTAAAGGGATTATGTTTGATTTTTTCAGGCTAAAGCAAGATGAGGAATGGGAAACCAGTTTTCCAGTTGCAGATGGCTATTGGAAGGAGATGGTGCAGCCAGTGATGAAACTCTACACTGAAACGACCGATGGATCAACAATTGAAGATCGAGAAACCGCAGTCGGATGGTGTTATGAAGATGCAGATCCAGATTTTGGTTCTTGTCAAGCTAAGGAGCTCTTCGATCATCTTGAAAGCGTTCTAGCCAATGAACCAGTTACTGTCAAAAGTGGACAAAATATTGTGGAAGTAAAACCTCAGGTACAACATCATTGATCTTCATCTTTTTAATTACCATTGTTTCTGTTCATCATACTCTGTTCAATAACGAAATATGACTTATTAGGACTACAACTAGAAATTGTTTGGCCATAATTATGTTTATAGTCCAACTTTATCTGAAATCATTGAAACTACTCAAACAACTATCGATCGTTGACAAACGATGCCTTATTGTCACCTGGGCAAAGCATTGATTTGAACCGAGGACCTCCTGCTAATAGTTTTAGTACATATAATACCAAAAAAAATACCAAGATGATCAATGGGGGAATCTACTTTCTTTCATCTTCATATACTGTTATATCATCAGCCATTTTGCTTTCTTATCAACCCTGACGGGGGAGCCTGTTGTTCGATTTTCTATAACCGCAGGGTGTCAGTAAGGGTCTCGTGGCGAAACGACTTCTCTCCGTGATGCAAGAGAAGGGGACGCCTGCGGATTTTGTTCTCTGCATTGGCGACGACAGATCGGATGAAGACATGTTCAAGGTGATCTCAAGTTCCCTGGCCGGCCCATCGATCACCCCCCGAGCTGAAATTTTCGCTTGCACGGTAGGTAAGAAACCAAGCAAAGCCAAGTATTATCTCGACGATCCATCCGAGATCGCGAGGTTGATGCATGGTTTGGCTTCGGTGTCGAGGCAGAACGTCCCGCCTTACCCGCCCCGAAGCTAAGTAACAAGGTGCATTAGCCGGAACTTTTCCATTTCTCAATGTCCTCAGTTTCAATCTCATTTACACTTCACAATGTACATATTGCCGAGGTTCACTAAAGGAAGAAAGTTAAAAAACTGAGACCCATTTTTTGTGTTTTGGTTCTATATTTAGTAAAAGCTGTAGATATATTTGTATGTGTTATAACCAAGAAAATTTGATTCCACCCCAAGTTCAATTTCTTGTTTTGGATTGTTTATTACGTTAATTAACACTTTTAAATCAGTAATAATTTAGTATATGAAACAACTTAATCCCTATAATTTGAAAATGATAAATGATTTCATCAAAATTAAGTTGGTGGATTTTGTTATATCACAATTTAATATTTGTAATTTATAAATAGATGTAGTTTCTCAATAGCTTATAGATCAACGTATATGAAATCGTATCAAATTTTAATAATATTTTTTTACCATGTGGACTAATTAATTAACCGAATACAACTTAAGTGGTTAAGGTATATATCTCTGACCCAAAAAAAAAAATCTCAGTCGTTGACCGGAGAGAGCTCTCGTACCTAGAGTAGATTTGTGAATAACATTTTGAAATTGATTAAAATCTTATTTTAAATCACAAAGAATTGCACAAGCATTGTAGCTCAACCTTTTTTTTTCCTAAATGAGAGAACTACAATTCCATCTCCTATAATAACAAGTAATAGATGCAAAATTTGTCGATGGTATTCAACATTAATCCACGACATGCATTTTAAATTTATAAATGTTGGAATTGGTTTATGTTATGAGAGAAAAATATAGAATCGACGAAGCGACAGAAGATGAATCATTGAAGACCATTGGCCCGGGTCAACCCGGACCGACTTGTGGTCGGCTCCGAGTTGTGCTCGGCACTGACCAGGCCTCGGCGCCCAGGTGTTCTCGGCCAAAAGGCCGAGAATCCTAACTCGACTCCCCTCGATCCTCATGCAGTCCAATCCGAAATCTCGTATGATCTCAACCCTTGATTTGACATTAGATCGACGAAGTACATGGGCCCACAAGTCCATATCCTAAAGATACTAGGTTCGACTTCTGTAAGCCGAGATTAGAATTCAACTCCTATAAATGGGGAAGTAAGCCAAACCCTAGAGGTATGCTAAAACCCCCTACTCTCCTCCTATTCTCCCGTCGATCCCTTTCATAGAAGATTAGTGCAAATTTGGCGAGATGTCAGGAGACAAAATTTATGCATTAACTGTTTACAATAAACTTGAGTTTCTAATCCCTCCTCCAAATTTTTAAAAGTAGAATTTTCTTCATGGATAATATTTTTTCTTTTTCAAATTTTCGCAAGTTGACTGATTATTATGTCATTAAAGTTTATAACCAGTCAATTTTCAAAAGCTTTGATAGCCTATGTTATTAAAAGTACAAACATTTCTTTTTGTGAGTTTTAAAAATGCTTATAATAAACCATAAATATAGAGTATGAAAATTTATTATAGGATTCTTCAACAAATTATTAGATGTTTCTATAACTAACCAATTGAGCTATCATAAATATTTATAAGTTATAATAACATTTTGTTTATACTATTATAAATATGTATAATTTATTTTTATCGTGAACATGACTCAATTTGTTAATGCACTTATCTTCAATTAAAAGATAGGTGAATTTGAATCCCTACTTGCATGGTAAAAAAAACTTTTTTCATGGTTATTATATATTTTTATAGCCTTTTTTGGCTGCTATAAATCATGATTTTCCACCATAATTATTTTTCTTAACTAAAATGTGTAGTCCATTATATCACAAAACATATAGTATTCTCAAATAGCTTACTCTAAAAAGATCTCCAACAAGAAAAAAAATTGACACCAAATAATTGTAAACAAGTGTGATTATGTCCATATGATTAATAAAAACTCTCTTAAGTATCAACTACCAAATATATTATGTAAACTTGAGCAGAGTTCAACTAATTAGGACATATATCACCAACTATGAGGTCGTGGGTTCAAATATTTATGTTGTTGGAAAAAAAAGGTACAAAATATAACTATCAAAAGAATCACATTTTTTAAAAGGTCTAAGGATGCTTAATTTTCCAAAATTACCATCGAATGATACCTTAAAAATCAATTTAAAATGGTTTTAAACTTTCTTAAAATCAATTTTGTAATTTCAAAAACATGGTCAATGGAAAAGGAAGTGATTTTGACCATGACAAAAGTGATTCGGACATAAATGACTCCCAAACATTTATGTGCACATGGTAAATATATTACAAAATGCTAAGAAAAATATGTGCAAAAATTTGTCAGACCTTTTTCTATTGGTATATTTATATATCATATAGTATTCAAATTTCAAGTTTGTTATCCATATATGTAAGACCTTTTATTTTGTTTTTTTAGGCTAAATATATATATTTTAGTCCTTGATATATTGAGAAATTTTTGTTGATAAAACACACACATATATATCGATGCATGTACGTGTGTGTATATGTATATCTATATTGGTAAGTTTGTTCAATGAACTAAAAAGTCTTTTTTGATGTGTTTTTAAGAAACCTGAAAACCTATCGAAGAAATTGTGAGCAAACAAACATAATTTTTAGAGAAATTGTGTGAGTCTTATCCCACGTGATGTTTTACGAGTGTCATTTTTAGAAATATTTAGAAATCTAGATTTTTGAAACTGTTTTATTCTTAAATTGCCCACAGTAAATGTTGTTGTATTACATTTATTATTATATTTTAAAAAGTATTTTTTTTAAAGAATTAAAGCTTAGAGTCAGGTTTAAGATTTAAGATCTAGGGTTTTATTTATTTATTTATTCAAAAAGGAGAAATTAAGTCTAGAGTTTGGGATTTGAGATTTAAAAGTTTATTTATTTATTATAAATATATGAATACGAGTAGTTTGGTAATTTTTACATGGGCCTAGGCCTCTGCTTTGACAAATTTATAAATTTTTTTAAGTACGATAAATCTATAAATTGTTAACATTTAAGTCGTTATGTAATTAGGTTCTTATCCCCAATTTTTAAATTCATAAAATAAAAAACAAAATGGTTATCAATTGACATATATTTTTCAATTAAAAGGTTGTGAGTTGGATCTCCATCCCACACGTTGTGCTAAAAAAAAAATAGAATTATAACTTTCAAAAATTTATTTTTACTTTTGAAATTTGACTAAAAATTCAAATATGTTTAAAAATAGGTGAAAAAATATCAAATAAACTGTGAACAAATGAGTGTAATTTTAAAAAATAGAGGACTAAAATTCAAAATTGAGGCATTCCTTTTTATGTTTTTTTTTGGAACAAATTCCTTTGTATGTTTTTGGCTTTTATACTTGATGTAAAAGAAACAAAAAGAAAAGAAAAGAAAATTCACTGCAAAACTTAAATTTAATGTGTATTATAAAATACAATATTTCTAAAACCGAGACTTTTAAAAGATTATTTTAGTGTTCTGATGACTTTCTTGTTTTTAGTTTAATCACGGCTTTTATATATATATATATATATATATATATTTATTTATTTATTTATTTTGTTATCAAAATTTTAAAAAATGGTTTCAAAATATAAAGAAAATTTAAAAAACAAAAAATACAACGTCTAAAAATTCAGAATTAATTTTCTATGTGTTTCTTTAACAATTAAATATAATAAAATTAGATTATCATAAAATTAGTCGAGGTACTTACCAGTTGACTGAGAGAGAAAAAAATTTACAAAACACATGCTAAAGTTTAATTTCTTTTAGAAATAGAACACTAAAAACAAAATATAAATTTTCTCAAAAAGAACTAAATTGGATTAGATGAAACAAAAAATGGACGTGGCAGTCTGTTAATGGCGAAATTCATACAAGAATCTCTTTTTTAGAGTTTAGAGCAGCGCCAACGGCGAAAGCAAACGGCGGAGAAGGAAGCATCCACTGACATTCCTCTCAAAAACCAAACGACAGACACGCCAAAAAAAAGTGTACAACTCCCAGAATTCCTCTCTCGTACTACGAACCACGAAGAATATTGGGGTTTCTTCCATTTGATTTTTCCGATTTCGTCCTAATTACGCTTCCCAACCTCATCGGACCTGCGGAATTCGCGACGCTGCGATGGTGAAATCGGCGGCGGAGAGGAAGGGACCGTCGGCGGCGCCGTTTCTGAACAAGTTGTACCAGATGGTGGACGATGAGGCAACGAATTCGATTATCTCGTGGAGTCCTACGGATGATAGCTTTACGATTCTGGACATGACCCAATTCTCTGTCCTCTTGCTTCCAAAGTACTTTAAGCACAGTAATTTCTCTAGCTTCATGCGGCAGCTTAATATCTACGTGAGTTTCTTCTTTGTTTATTCAATTTTCAATTCTGTATTTTCGTTTCCGGTCGATTCTATATTTTTCTGGGAAATTCCACTATAATGGTTGTTTTTTTATTTCATAAGACACACCTTGTTTTAGTTGCCCTAATTGCTAATAAGGCAATTGAGGATTATAGGACCATAAGCTGGAAGTAGCTGTATTCCTGATTTTAGTGGAAATTCTTGGTGTGAAATCGCCTTAGGTTGGTTAATTACTCTGTTTTGGTTAATGGTAAGCTCAAGGATAGAGCATTTTCCTCTAGATGGAGAATTCTTATCCCCTTTCTTTTCTAGTGGTTGTTGATTGTCTTAGTTGGTTAGCGGCTTTAGGAACGAATAAGGGTCTTGGTTGAAGGCTTCCAGGTTTGGTGGAATTTTTTTTGTCTTAAGATCATTTTTCGGTCTTGAGATTAATGGGGATAAAAGCTCTACGGTTTTTGTTTATTGTGATTCCTCTAAGCTGGCTAGATGCATCTTTTGTCCATTTTAAATCCAATTGTGGAAAAGGTTCATAAATGTTTCTCTGCATAGAAAAGAGTTTTATTTTCCAATTCGTGATTGAGTGACGTTCATCCAATCTGTATTGAGTGGGATTATGACACTGACATACTTTCTTTCATTGTTTGAGATTCCTTCCTCTGCCAATACTATGTTAAAAAGATTATGAAGAATATTTTATGGTAGAGTGTTGAAGACGATGGGGTTTTCATTTGGTTGGGTGTGAAGTTCAGTGGAATCTTCATTTTCATCAATAAGTTCAAGCTGCTTGTGGTTGGTACGGTCATGGGAACAAACTGTATTATTTTAAAGGAATAGCTCTTGCATTTGGGTGATAATGCTACTGGATTGAAGGTGCTTCCATGGAGTTTTTGAAGGTTGACTGTTGTCTCTAAAGGGGGTTTTGGTGGAGGGGCATTGGGCAAGGAGTTATATATTGGGGTTTTGTCATTGTCAAATTAGTGAATTGTAGTCATTGAGAGAGACCCAATTTCTTGATTTGTGGAATCTCACAGGTTGCCAATGAAATGGGTCGCTTGTTTGCATTCAGTTGATAAAACGCTTCAACATACTCGTGTAGTGTTTGATTTTTTTTGGTCTAGTATTTTCTGGTATAGGTAGAAACCTGGCTTTGAGTAGCTGATTCCTCTTCAACTAGAAGTGATGACTGAATGGGTTTGCTTTCCTTCAAATGTTTTATTCAGTTGTAGTTGCTGCCACTAGGCTGCAGTACAGTACCACCCTCAATTTCTAAGCAACTAGCTTAACACGTTTTTCTTATAGTGTGTCCAAATACCCATAGTAATTTCTTCTTCTTCTACCCAGTCACGAAAATCTTCTATGTGACGGTGGCCATCAAAATATGGTGGATCAACCTTCAATGGTCGGGTTGAACATGCAAGGAAAATTTTGAAGAACTCAAACTTGTTGCAATTGCACTCCCCACATCTTCAAACTCTTCCATGAGTTTTCACTATTAGATGCTGGTTCATGGATAGCTCTCAAGGCTTTCCATAAATAAAGGAATTAGTCAAAAGTTCTATTCTGAATTTTGCGATTTGTGAGAGTTTCTTTTCATAGGTCTTGACGGGCAACTTGATAAAGGAAAGGTTAAACTTGCCCTTAAGGTTGTGGAGGAATCCAATCCCAATCTGTCGCCTAAATTCCCGAGGCTCTATCTATTCTTGTGGGTGAAGGTGGTGAATTGAGCCTCCATTTGTTGTTCTAGCTTGGCTATGGCTGCCCAAACCTCTTTGACCGACATGGTTCTCACCCACAGAATGGGCTCCCTTCTTGTGTTCTCCAGCCATTTTCGCTGCTTCTTTGATCATGGAAGGCTGAGATCAACCCCAATGGCACAGGAAGTTGATAGAGGAATAGAGGTTCTGAGCTATTCCTTGAAAGAAATGTCATGGTGTAAAGTGTAAAGACTTGTACAATACTGTTATGTCTGCTCGAAGGTGAGCACGAAACGACAGAAACAAGCCAGCAGCTTGGATTCACCTGAAAATACATGCAACTGAATTAAAGAAAATAGAAAAGAAGAGAAATGTAAGGTAAGATTTAGGACGTGATGGTTTATCTTCCACTTGTAACTTGTATGTATAATCTACTTTTTAGGAGAAACCAACTTCCATTCGACGAATGGAAGAATACAAGAATGTTCCAAAAGATCCCGAGTTTTTGGTAATCAACAGTAAAGGATAATTATAAAACAAACTTGAACTTCGAGCCTAAAGAGGAGCACTAAAATGTGTCAAATCTCATACGACATCCCAAAATCTAACCCCACAAAGTTACCTTTCATTTTAAGATTTGACATTCTAAAATAGGGATGAAAATAGAAATGGCTCCGCTCTATCTTCTCAACATTTGATATGGAGGCATGCCTTATTGCAGCTTTTAGGTTTTCTGGCTGAACTCCGGTCCATGCAGACCAATCAAACAAGTGAATTGTTCTTCTTTTCAGTTCATTCCCCTTGATCCTCCTGGGTTAATTTCTTGTCAGATTAGTTGTTGAGGGGCCGAGGTTTGCGATTGCTGTATCGGTGAGGCCAAGGGCCTTCTCAAAGGGAGAAATTTTACGACCATCTCACTTTATTATACTTAAAATGGATATTTTCTTCATCTGTAGCTTCTTCTTTACCCTTATTTTAAATATTGTCTGCAAATAGAACTTGTTTCATTGACTCCTGATCAGTTAACAATATATAGTTTTGTATTTTCAAGTCATAGGTTATAACAAGTGGTTCCTTATATTATTTCAGGGTTTTCGGAAAATTGATACGGATTGCTGGGAATTTGCAACTGATGGATTTGTTAAAGGACAAAAACATCTGTTGAAGAATATCTGCCGAAGGAAAAACATCCAGGGAACAGATCAGCGTAAAGCATCGCAGCCCGCCCAAGAAAATTCCGAGGGACAAGGAGAACTACATGATTATACAGGGCTATGGAAGGAAGTTGAGAATCTTAAAATAGATAAAAATGCTCTAATGCAGGAATTGGTTAAACTTAGGCAGCACCAAGAAACTTCAGAGAATAAGTTGCTTCTATTGAGAGACCGCCTTCAAGGTATGGAAAAGAATCAACAGCAGATGCTGTCATTCTTAGTAATGGCTGTGCAGAGCCCCGGATTTTTGGTTCAGTTTCTTCAACCGAAAGAAAAGAATTGGCGAATGGCCGAGGCGGGCACTATCCTAGAACAAATACCAGATGATAATCAAGTACCTTCAAATGGTATGATAGTCAGGTATCAACGACCATTAGACGAGCTGCCAGCAACTCTACTTCCACCGGTGTCGGGTTCAGGGAAACATCAAGAATCTGAACCATTCCCTGAAGGAATGAAGGACTTTTTCCTTAATTCTGACTTCATGAAGGTTCTTATGGATGAAAAGTTGTGTTTAGACAATCATAGTCCTTTCGTTCTTCCAGATGTTCAAGATATTGCATGGGAGCAGCTTCTTCTAGCTAGTCACTTTTCAGGGAATTCAGAAAATGGTAGAAAAGTCGACGATGAACTCGATATGGAAACAACTGATACTGGAACTGATGAAGAGAAGTCGCAAGATTTTGAACTCCTAGTTAGACAAATGGAGAAATGTGAAAATTCTGGGATGCCCCTGAGGTTTGACGAATCTTGTATCGAGAAATCCAATACTGTTAATCTCCTAACCCAGCAGATGGAGCTTTTGGCATCTGATCAAGAAACATGAATGAAATGCCAGACAGGATGCAAGAACCTTAAAAGAACGACATGTTTTCGTCGGTTCGTAGTACTTTCTTGATTTAAGAACTCAAAGTTCAATGTGATTCTTCCATCTTCACCATCCACATATAGCAACGATTAGTTGGCTGTCTTGACCAGAGCATTGGATTTCAAACAGATTTCGTTGGGAATGCTAGCCATCTCGTTTCTTTGGGGTATCGTCTGGTAACGCTTTTGTTTCAACTTTCAAGCATTATATCTTGGAGCCTAGGTAAATTTTTATGATATAGTATATATTATCAATTTTGATGAGGCGGTTTCTCAACTGCTTCTTTACTACTGCCTTGCTCCATATATTTTTCTGTAAAGCATGGCAAACGCTCTTGTTATGTTCACTTGATATTAAATTTGATGCTCAAAATCTCACACGTGCGTGTTAGTGTACACATATCATACACATTACAGGAAAACTTTGTTGATTGCATTATATCAGAGATGGTATTTGAGTTTCCTTTTTGTGCAAAATGGCCCAAAATTTAGAGGATGAATGGAAATTGACCTGATTCCTAGAAATCAAGGGCCGTCTGATAACCATTTTAGTTTTTGATTTTTGATTTTTCTTGTTTTTAGTTTTTTATTTTCTGTTTTTAAAAAACAAAAATCATATATATATGTTTGATAACTATTTTTTGTTTTTTGTTTTTAAAAAACAGAAAACAAAACATGTTTAGTAAGCATTTTTAGTTTTTTGTTTTTAAAAAAGTTAGAAAATTGAAATTACATATTAGAGAGGTGTGGGTGCGAGTGAGGATGCTCTCCTCCATTCTCGAGTTCATGAAAATTTTTAGTCTTCGTCTCTACCTCGTTCTTGGGTCCGAGAGATGTTCTCGAGAAAAATTATTGATTTTATAATTGTTTTTAATTATATTTAGAATTTAAGTATAAAAAAGTGTAATAAATATATATTAATTATTTAAAAAATGGAATCGGGAACAAAGTCAGGACATGCATTTCTTATTTTTGGGACTCGACCGCGGAAATTTTTGTCTTCCTCTAACGTAGAGACATGAAAATACAAGTTTAGAGAAATGTAAATAAACTTTTGGAAGATAAATTTAAGAGAGATAGATAAAAAGATTAAGGAAAAAAAAAGGAAAAGAAAAGTGAAAGACAAAAAAAGAAAAATTATAGAGAAAAAAAATAAAGTCGAAAGGAAAAGATATGTTAAAGAAAAAAAATTATAAAGAAAGAGAACAATTATATTGGAAATAAATGTAGAGATAATAACAAGATTCAAAATATAATTTTTATAGAAAATAAATAAATACAAAGATAAATAAAAGTTACAGCGAAAAAAATTGAACGAGAAAATAAAATATAATTTTTAGAGAAAAATAGATTATGAAAACAAACAAAAGTTATAAAAGATGAAATTTTAGAAAGAAAAAATCTAGGAAAAATATTAAGTTTATAGAGAGAGAAATGAAACTAATAAGTTTGAGAAAAAAACAAAAATAAAAGAGACAAATAATAATAAATATTTAAAATATGAAAATTTTAGAGAGAGAAAAATAAATTTTGTAGAGAGAAGTTTAGAAATAAAAAATTTTAAAGTGAGAAATAAATTTTTTAGAGATAAATACGAGAAAGGGAAAAAAAAGTTGCGTATTAGAAGAAAAAATCAGATTTTGAAAAACAAAAACCTGTTTTTGAAAACTACATTTTTTTTTGTTTTTGAAATTGAATGGGCAAACAACCATGTTTTTGAAAAACTAAAAATCAAAAACAAAAACGAAATGGTAATTATCAAACAGGTCCTATGTTTTTCCAATCCAATGACGTCGTCCTATCCGAAATAAATAGTCTTTCACTTCAACATCGTTTTCTCTTTTTTCTCTCAATTCTTCTCACTGATATATATTGTCGTTGATTTTTAGATCCAAAGTTTATCCCCCATCATTTATTGGCCGATCTTGACCCCTATTATTTTGAGATCATATATAGTATTCAAAGTTTGCCTTGATTTGGTATTGCTCTTGCGATTCACACCGAAACAATACTTTATCCTTAGATATATCCAGTCAACTGTTATGCCTCAATGCATTTTGGGAGAACCAACATACTCCTATTACATTTTATCATCCATAATTTTATTTATAACAACTTGTCATTGGTATCTAACCTCTTTGTAGGCTCTAAATTACCTCCTTGTAGGCTTCATTCTTAGGTCATTTTTTTCATTGAAAGTTCGGTTTCTCACAAGAGTCTAGAAGTGAATTGAAGGACCTCCTCCTTTTCAACATCAAGGATTCAACAGTACATTTTTTTAGAAGGCTAAATTGTTATTAAATAAAAGAAGTATAAATACCAAAATGTTACAAAAGTCAATATGAGGACTAACAAGGATGGTTTAACCATACATTTGTTGGGTAGAAAATTGGATTCTCTGGATGGTAAAAAACCACATCATTCATTTCTGAAAAAACTCACAAAATTTTAGTAAAAATTAATAAAGGATTAAGCATGAAATCTATTTAGCCAACATTACAATACAATGAGATGGTTTAGTTCATCGTTGAATGGCCTTGGCCATGCCAAAAGCAGCTGCGGATGCAATAGCTCCGACGAGGGTGGTTTGCATGGCGCTTTTGAAGGGCTTATTACCCGTAAAGTAACCCTTCGCATACCCGAACACGAGCAACGCTACTAACGTCAATGCCACCGACGCTATCACGGCTTCTGTGGTGTTTGAAATAAACATGTAAGGAATGAGGGGCACCAGTCCCCCCAATACGTAAGCCAATGCAATTGTGAAAGCACTTTGCAGAGCTCTTCTTGGATCTGGTTTTTCCAGTCCTAATTCAAACCTACATCACCACACAAACACTACAAAGATTAAACCATAAATGAATATTGAAATGGAAAAATGTTGAACATAAGAACCAGAAAAACTCACAGTTCTAACAGTTAGGAGAATTACTTCACTTTGACATTACACAGTGAATTAGTGATGTTTGTGGCATACAATTACACCTATCTACCCATCCAAAGAGGGCAGCAAAATTTTGTTACATTTGGTGATTTTTTTTCCCTCCAAAGAATTGTTACATTATAATACAAATGAGGTAATATGTAAATGTTGTTTGTGTAATGTAATTACGGATATGTTCATTTTCTCTGCAAAGATGGATCCACAGAAACCTGCCTAATGAGACCAAGAATCTTCGTTTAGATTCCCTGTCACCTAAATGGGGGCGGGGACGAGCTTGTTCTCTGTCCGCCCCACTTTTTTGTAATATATATATATACACACCTCAATAAACAATCATATTATTATATATATATATATATATATATAAAAAGACAAGCAATTCTATTATTCTTTTTATTTTATAGATATATTAAGAGCCTGTATTTTTTCTCTACCCACCTACCCAAGAGATATATATATATATATATATAGAGAGAGAGAGAGAGAGAGAGATTAGAAGATGTAAGTGAGATTTTATCATTAGAAATTTAGCAATTAATTAGAAATTCCTTTAGAAAGAAATATTTAATTGAAAATAATTTTACAAAATAAAAAAATAAATAGGGAAAATTTTCCTATGAGAAACCTAATCCCTGCGAATTTCCTGCATAAAATGCGTGAAAAATTTCATGGGGATGAGAAATTAAATGGGGTGGGGAAGTCTTTCCTATCCCTAAAACATTATTGACAAATTGTTACACCTTTATAGCATAGTGCTATGCAAAATTATAAAAAAAAAAAAACAGCCAGTAAAGAGAATTTTGAGAAAATTTATTCTTTGTTTTACAAGTACCTAATGGTTCAGTATTATAATGTATTATAAATATTAAATATTGCACTAAAAAAGATACATACTAGTTTAAACTCAATTAAAACATAACAAATTTACTAGATGAGAGACTGTTGTCTGTTAATTAGCTATTAGATACTCAAAGAAGAATAAAAAATAAAAGGATAATATTGAACACAAATATATTTGTATGAGTGCAGTTAGAGGTGTTACTAAATCTTATGAATTTAATGGGCTAAATTACCTAATGCCCCCTAATCCCTATTTTGGTTTCAATTTTGTACCTAATTTTTTTTTAAAATAACCCTGTTAGCAATTTCTGCTAAAATAATGACCAACTTTTACAAATCATAAGTTTACCAAAAAGTACTCCAATTTCATAGACTTTAGTTTTCATGGCTCACTGTTTTGAACGATTTAAACACAAAATCTAGACTTTTAAACCCAAAATTTTATAGTTATAGACTTGTTAAAAATTAAAATCGTGAGTCAAAACTCAAATATAAAGCCTTTTGCTTTAAGAAACAAATTTCCATATTTGTTTGGATGTTTGAGGATGCAGCTGTGAACTGTGATGTCAATCTTTTTTGGATTGTTCCACAGAGTCCACATGATACTTAGAAAACAAAATGGTGGAAACTTCAATTAGATTTTTGGTAGCTACTACAAACTTGGCCTTTGCTTTTGCTATTAGACAAATTTATAGGATATAGAAATTCACCACCACCTAATAATATAGTCAGAAATTATATGTTTTTCTTTTTAGGGGTGGGAGTTCAAACTCACAACATTTGTAACAGATAAATACCTTAACCGTTGGGTTATGTTGAGGTTAGCATACGATTTGTCAAAATGAGTATAACTTAACGTTAATTGACATCTATTCCTTCCTTTGAAGTCAGAGATTCAAACCTCCTTACCTCCAATTTGTTGTACTTATAAAAAGAAAAAAAGATATAAGATTTGGAAGACTATAGAATATTCTTGGCATGATTTGGAAGTGATTTCGAGGGGTCCAAAGTTAAAAAAAAAAAGTGACAATAAATAAAAATCACTTTTTATTTTTTGATTTATTATTATTTTTTTAAGAGTGATGAACCAAGAGTAACTTTTATGAGATAGGCTTAGAATGGCGAACAACCAAGAATAACTAGAATTATTTAATGTAATTTGCTTTTAGATATATTGAATCTGCAAGCAAACTGTGTAGTCTTCATTTGATAACCATTTCCTTTCTTTATTTTTTATTTCTAAAAATTAACTTTAAAACACTACTTCTACTTATATATTTCTTTGCTTTGTTATCTGCTTTTAGAAAAAGTTGTAAAATCTAAGTCATATTTTGAAAACTTGTTTTTCTTATTGAAATTTAGTTAAGAATTCCAATGTATTTTACGGAGGAGGAAAAACACATCCATAAAACTGTGAAGAACCAAATAATTTTTAGAAACACAAAACTAAAAGTAAAATAGTCATCAAATCCGCCGTTCTTATGTTAAAACCATTTTTACATTTTAAACAAATGACCTAAGAGGTGACAAAATTTTGTAGTAATCTAACAATATTCTTTGGCGGTGAACGAAATTTGTCTCATAGCAAAGGCAAATGCCAGCTTTGTCATAGCTACCAAAAATCTAACAATATTCTATTTTTCTTTTTCTCATTTTTCTTTAAAATATTAAAACATGGTTTCTACAATAAAAAACCATAAGCAAAAATATTACTAGACATTTAGGAAAATTTTCAATTTGTTCTTTTGGCGGATGAAAGACCAAAAACCTAAAAATGTTTTTTTCCAAAAAAATAAAAATGAAAAATAATTTTGTCTCGAGGGATAAGGTTGGAAAATTTATTTTCCACCTTAACATTGATCCAATCTTGAATTTATTAAAAAAAAATATTACTAATGAATTTCTAGCCTATTCGCAAAATATTTATATGCAAATAAACTAATTTTTCAAACTACTCCACAGTAATAAATAAATAAATAAAACAACTCCTTTACTTGTCATATTTAGACTCAATCTTACTGTGTGTCATTTCACATCAAAACCAAGAAGGTGCTCAAAAGGGAAAACAATCATAGATAATATTTAAATTTCAAAGCACAAATCTCAAATTGGAAGATATTTATGGAGAATATTAATGTAGGTAAGGTAGATATTCTAAGGAAATCATAAAAAAAAAAAAAAATCAAGAAACTTATAAAAATTATTTAAATTAGAAAATAAAAACTTAATTTACCATCCTAATTTCTATGGCATTTGTCCAACAAAGAATATTTAATTAGTTCATATTTTTATATGATATTTTGTGTCTAATAAATATAGAGGTGAGTAATCGAATCATCGATCTTAAATGAGATACTGAACTATACCGGATAATAGTTGATTATTTTTATAGTGACAGTGAAGCTTTTAAATTTATAAAAATGTGAGATTTTAAGGGGGAAAGAAGAAATTACGTACTTCATCATGAAATCCAACCAAGCTTGAGGGCTCTTCCTAAGAGCATTCACAACCGGACCATATTCATGGGCTTCTATCCCGTACTGCGCCAATATCTCTGCTACTTCTGCCGCTTCTGCATTTTTATTCCCATTTTTTTATTTTATTATAAATACACATTCAATTACAATATATAAAGTTATAAACTAGTCCTCTTTTTTCCCTTCAAACAATTAAATTAGTCTCTTTACAATCATTCTTCAAAACTATTTTTATCAAGCATTTATATTAATAGCATAAATTTTCAAATATAGCAGAAAGTTAAAATTCCAAATTAAAAGCAAACTTAAATTTGATGTGAAATACGCATGAAAAGGTCAAATATATAATATATATTTTTACAAAAGTGAGTCGTGATATTTTTTAAACTACATAATAAATATTAAATTTATGTTATGGAGTAAATTTTTTCTAAAAATTTAAAATTTCTCCCCTCATTGGGTTAATGTCCAAAGAAAAAAAATCTGAAAGCTATCAATATTTAGTAAATCTAAAAAAACATTTTGAGAAACTTAAACGAGGGTACAAAGTGTAAATTAATTTTTTATTAGAACCAGAGATCAAATTCAAATCGACAATAGACGAGGAGAGTTAAGTAGAGTTCTAATGGTCATGTATCTCAAATCAAGAAGTTAGTTCAATTTCTCATCTACACATCATGTACTAAAAATAACTACTTTTTATTTTTGAAAAATATTTTATTTATTTTTTACTTCAAAAGTCATTTTAAAATGAATATTCCGAAACTACCCCTAGTCATATTTCAAGAACAAATCTTCGAAATTAAGGTTTTTTTTTTCCTTTTAAATCCATTTAGTCGATGATACTATAATTAACTTGATTTCAAATTAAATTTGTTTAAAAAAACAAGAAAGAAGAAAGAAGGAGAAAGTAAAGGAATCGGCACCAGTATCGGGAACCGCGACGATTTCTTCTTGTTCTCTCCGCAATTCTCTCGTGTAGTGATCCGCTTCGCTTTTCGCCGCGAGATATCTACGCACAAATTCCAAACGAATTGCCGATTCTATTCAGCAAATTACAGAAGAACAAACAAAAACAAAAAAACTGAAATCCAGATCTCGAAATCGAAATCGATTAATTAGGTTAAAACGTAAATGTAATTAATGGTGATGGATCAAAGGCACGCACCCGCCGAGTCCCATGGAGATAGCGCCGGCGGCGACTTCAGCGATGCCGGCGGTGAGGACGATGGAGGAGGAGGCGTTGGCGCCGGAAAGGCCGGCGGCGAGGGCGAAAGGGACGGTGAGGCCGTCGGAGACGCCGATGATGATATCGCGGACGATCTCGCCGGCGGTGAAGTGCCTCTCGGTGTGGTGGTTGAGGAGCGTCTGCTTCTGAGGGTCTAGGGGAACTGGTGCGCCGTTGCGGTGCGCCGCCATTGATGCGGAGAGAAGGAATAAGCTCAGGAACTGAGTAGAAAAGAGAGAGAGAGAGAGCGAGGAAATGGAAATGGAAACGGTGTGAAATGTCAGCGACGTAGCGCAGCAAAGGAAAGAAATTTGATAGGGAAAGCCAGCGCCACAGCGTGTTTGGTTGGCATATTTCAGCAGCTTTATTAAATTTGGATTTATTAATTACGAATTGTTAAATATGAGTTCACTCCCACTTCTAGAAATAGAAAATTTATGGCTCATTAAATTGTTGTTTTTCTTAAAATATATGGACACATGAATATGTTTAGAAGATATTTTGTTGGGGTCGATCTCAAATAACATTCAAGTAGCATGCATAATGTTCATAAACATTTTAATAAAGTACTAGTTTAACCATTCATAACTTTTTTTATATAAAATTTAACTATTCATAGAAAAGTTATAAAAATGAAAAACCCCAAAATAATATTTAAATTAACAAATAAATGGCTCCACCCTTTCTAAACATGTTAAAAATTATTAAAATTAATAGTGTGTCTATATTAGTAAAATTTTATTGATATTTTCTATATTTTTTTGTAATATTATGGAAATATCGATTTACCTTTATGTCAATGTCGAACTATGGATACATGAACATGTCGATGGATATATCGACACATCGATGGATATTTAAAACCATGGTGTCAATAGATTCGATGTATAGGTGAATCGATATTTTTCCATAAAGTTATATTAAATAACTGACAAAATACTTTTGGAAAAAGATAAAATATTATTTTGAGTTTTTGTACTCTCAACTTTAATTCATTTTTTGTCAAAAAAAAAAACTTCAGTTCATTTTAATCCCTACACTTTCAAATTTACTTTAATCCTTACACCTTTTTTTTTAAAAAAAAAAAAGTGACCATTTTTTGCAAAATTTTGACACATAACGAAAACTATTTAATATAAAGTTATGATTATATTTCAATAAAATTGAGACTTCAATATTTCTACCACATGGTAGTTAGAACTTTACTTATATACTTGTTTTTTTTTTAATTTATTTTAAAAATTATACCCGTGGATTGTAGCTTTCTTATAATTTATTTGGTATATTTTTCATTTTCTAAAATATATGTTTCGATTTTTAGCCAAGTTGTAAAAAGCTTACTTTAAAATTAAAATTAAAAGTTTGGTTTAGATATTGAAAAATGCTTTTAAATTATTTTTAGCATGTCCCAAAATTTTTAAAATGGTAAATTTAATTCTTATATTTTAAAATTGTCCTACCAAGCTCTTGAACTTTCAAATTGATGTTAAAAGATCATATCATAAACTATTTATGTTATGTGATCAAATGTCGTAACTCAATCCACCATGTAATATTTAAACAATTTTAAATAAAAAGTATAAAAGTTCAAATCAAATCAGAGTGAACAGTACTTGAAGTTCAATCCCTACTCCCACATGTTGTATTAAAAAAACTTAAAAATCATTCGATCACAACTAATAAAAAAAAACACTTCCCATAACAATTATTGGGCTAAACGTACAAAATAATTATAATACTTTTTAATTTTTACTCGGACTGAATTAAAAATTTTCAATTAATTTTTTTCGAAAAAAAAGGAAAAAACGGACGAATTGTTAAATTTTGTTTTAAAAATTGATATATTTTTAACATTTAACTTACCACTTTTTTTTTAAAATTTGACCCTTACATTTCCAATAAGCAATTTTTGCTACACCAAACGCTGCATCCTTTAAATATTTGAAATCTAATTCATGTGCACATACTTCCTCCAAATATAAGCATCCCATTTCCCCAAGTCTTTCATGTTGGCATTCCCATCACTAATTGTAAAAAAAAAATTCAAATTCCAAGAACCTCATTTTTCCTCGGCAACAATCAAATCCTTATTGAGTTTTCCTTCGGATTCTTCACAAGTTTTAGTATAAAAATAATTATACAATTTTCTTAAGAAAATTCCCCAAGGGAAGAAACTCAAGCTTTGTAGAAAGGTAAAAATAGCTCCTAAAGTGAAAGGATTGGACTAATGCACAATTATAACTTAGCTGATTTTTTCTATCCAGGGTTGAAGGCCTATATGCATTTTTCAATTTCCCTCTCTTCTACAGAAAATGAGAGAGAATTCACCTTATTGTTAATAGAAATTTACAGAAGGGATAGTAAAATTATGAAGCAGCTAAATAAACTAGGAGCTCTGCACATCCGTCTAACCTCTGCTTTTATATTACAAGTTCGTATAGACGACCACTGAAAGCATGTCCCCTCTAATCCAACGAGAATGCTCCGTTGCAATACCTGTAGAGCACAAAAGAGAATGATAATCCACGATTTATCGGTGTTTTTAAGTGAATTTTCCCGCTTCTTCTTTAAGCACTTTTGAGAGTAATAACTAAATTCTTCATCTACATCCTAAAGCCAACTACCACGCATTAGCTTGGTGGTTATTGGGGCAAAGAAAAAAGGACGGAATAGGTTCAAACTATGGTGGTTACCTATGTAGGATTTAATATCCAATGAATTTCATTCACGACCAAATATAGAGGATTCAGGGAGTTGTTCCATGAGTTTAATTGATGTGTGTGAAATGTGAAGCTAGATGGAATATTCATAGATACAAGCCACTTTAAGTTAGAATCTCAAACTTTTCAAAGTCACTTTTGATTGTCTAACTGAAGACTATGAATCCCGTGTAACTTCTCTTATCATGTATTTTGAAATATCTAAGATGAAATCAATCATGAACATTACCTGTTGCTGAATTTCTCCACCATATCAGAGGCATAGAGTAGGGTTTCGTTAGCTTTCTCCAGAACCATGTAAAGCTCTTTCCCTCTTGTGATTCGAGAAATAACCCAAGCATTGTTTTTGGCTCTTATTGTTACTTCCAGTTCCTTCTCCTCACCAATAATATCCTGTTTCGCTTGACTCTTCTCCAAATCAACCTTTTCTCTGAGTTTGCTCATGGCAAGTAAAGACTCCTGTAATACATGTGCTCGTATTAAAATTCTCATTTCTCAATGCATGACAAGAAAACAAAGTTCAAGCTTACTCATGGCAAGTAAAGATTCCAGTAATATTTAATGCTTTATCTGAATTAATGATGACTAAGAATACAATTGATCTGCAGTAAAAATAGGAAGAAACATATGGCTAATTTTCTTGCGAATCTCTATTCAAGCTGAATGGGCTAGAAAAGTTAGAAGCTTTTGTTCGGACCCTTTACTTTGAGGGTGAAATGCTCTTGACAAAAACGATAAGGACTCCTTACTGCTTCCTATCTATAAATTGATGTAACATGTACAAGGTCATAAAGAAGTAGATCATGTTTTCTTGCATTGCCTATTAATATATGTTTGTGGCAAAGGATACCCAAGTAGTTCTCAGTTTAATGATACTTGTCCTCAAACCGTTAAGGGAATCAATATTTAGAGGTCAACCCTTTGGAGGAAAACTACAATTCATTGGTTTAACGTGGTTAGAGCTACTTAGTAGAAAACTTGGCTGGAAACAATGGCACAGTGATCATTTGTATTTTTTATTTTTTTGGGGATCATTTCCAATTTGTGTGTCATCTTTGCACAAGGGTCATACTAATCTTCTCTATATCGTTCCAATTTTATTGATGTCCCCAAAGGAACAGGGTGGTCATTCTTTTGGAGAGGAGATTCAGTGAGATATGAAATATCGTTGTACATTTGATTCTTGGACTGCTCTTCGAAAAGCTTTCTGTAATTATCCTCTTGTGCTAATTGGAGAGATTATTTGTAACCGTATGGCTAGGGACTCACTTTTTTCCTTTTTATACATTACAATATTTTGAAATAATACCCCATTCTTACTAATAAATACATACATGAATATATATGATACCAAAGTAATAATATGAGGGATAGTTTAGCCCCCATTTAATTATTTATTTATTAGTATTTGTGAGGGTTCGAGTCAGCTTGTGCGCACCTCGACTAATCGCACGGGACAACCACCTAACCCTACTACATTTGATTGTCAAGGAAACATGTAAGAAATTAATTCCTAGGTAAGTGACCATCATGGAATTTTTAGTCCCCATTTAATTACGGTTTCATTTTTTTTAAGAAAAATTATACTTGATTTCTCAAGTTCCCGTCGTATGTTTAACGAATGTATTCCACCTTAAAAACAAAAAAAGTTTGAAACCCTTTGTAAAAAGGAGATGACAAAACAAAGTAACACGTGTAGAAGTTATGTTTATAAACTTAATTTTCAGAGATAGAAAATAAAAAACATAATGATTATCCAATGAAAATTTAATTATAGTCAAAGAACACTTTACCTTTGTGAGGGTGGTAACTTTTCCTGGTGGTGAAGCCCTGGATATTTGTCTATCACCATCTACCAGTAGATAACGATACCCACCAACATGATAAGCATTTTCCCCACCCCAGCCTTTTGACAACTTTTCTCCAACTTTCATTATCTTCAGGGACGCCTAGAAGATAGCAAGAAATTCAACCAACAAAGGGAAAGAATTCAAAGATTCATAGATCAGTTTAATAGATATTTAAAAATTAGCTAGAGCAGTCAAAATAGAATATTAAGCATTTGCACTAGAAATATTTAGAGGTTCTTTTTTTTTTTATTTCCCATTCCAAATTAGCCCTTTACTATTTACATTTATTAACCACTTTGACTTACCCTTGTTGACCTAGTGGTTAGTAATATTAGAGTGACTTTATTAGTAATTTTATCTCTTACGATAGTAACCATATTTTAATAATTCTTTTGGTAAATTTTTATTCTTCAAGATTTCCTTAACTTGGTTCAGACTCCAATAAAATACAGAATTGAGATGATAGGATCAGAAAATATTGGAACCCTATATTTACTCCATGTTTTCCTCTCTTCCTCTAATCTCTCTATTTCTAGCCCTATTTTACACTCTTCATCCACTGCAAAATAGATGATATTTCTTATCTTCTCTTTTCCCACTAGTGTTCTAATTTTTCCCTTCCTATCTGTCCAACATCTATTGCTTAGGCATAGAATCTCCATTTCAAAATAAATTATACCTAGGGAGAAAATTCATTTAGAAAAATAGAATAGAATATGATAGCAGAATAATGAAGGAGGTAGGGGACTAACATTTTCAAGAATATACTGCCTCACGATTGAAATACCTTGTGCCCCATTAGGTACTGAGGATACAGGAACCAGAAGAATCAGAGTCAGGCTTTTATGCTGATGTACATAGAGGTACATTTTCTCCTCCGTTTGAGAAAGCCAGATTGTTGGGGTGGAAACAAGCAAGCCACTTGCCTCCATACCCCAAATATCAGTCTCCAGAAAACTGTCCTTCCCTTTTGACCATTTTCCATGCTGCAAGGGTCGTATCACACGTTTAACATTTCCGCCATGAGAAGAGTTATGAGAGTTGTATGATTGATCTGAAACGGAACCATGTTCAGCAACATGAGATGTAGCATTCCCCCTGAGTAAATAGGACCAAGAACTTGCACCAGAAGATAAGACACGTGGAGTCAACCTCAGGACAGCATAAGAAAATAAGTTTGTAGTGTCATCCTGCAAAAGAGCTTGTAACTAAGTGCTTTAACATTTTTGAATGACCAAGATTATATATCATGAGAAAATTCAGTCTCAGGATATGTATTTGGTCTTTGGCATCCCCATGTAATTCAGCCTTTGTAATATGAAAAATGGAAACTACAATTAGGAGATCAACCCATACAGGAGAAAGTGTTGTAGACACGAGTAAGTCCTGAAATAAAATCAGAGAGTGGCATGATGTGTTTCCGATGCAAGAATCAAGTGTTCTGACAAGTGCCTGAAAAATAAATACATTATTAAATTAAGTCAGAAGAATAAAAATAAAAATGTCAACAATGCCCAAATCTTGACTACTTTTTCTTTTCCTGACGGGGCAGCGTAGCATGGAACCAAAGAATTTATTCATCACGTTAAGAAAGACAGTTCTTAAGATTCAAATTCATCGTCAAAGATTGCTGTTTAGGTTTTAAAGACAGGTTGATCAAAAGCCTTAAAGCTCTACGTTCAAAATGAAATAACATAAAGAGATCCAAGAATTAACCCAAGGAAAAGGCGCTGAGTAGATCTCTTAGGAGCAGTCCTTCCATTTTAAATAAACCCTGGAAGGCCACTTTGCAGGAAAAACATTCTAAACTATTTATCTAAAACATTAAAGCCAACAAACAGCGAATCTAAGGGGAATGAAAAAAAAAATTAAGTGCATGACATAAATTCAAGTACTTGAAGTTCTTTACAAGAACAAACCTGAACTTCAATGGCAGCATCTCGTCCTATGGTCAGCATCTGTACGGTTCCTCGTTCCTTCAAACAGTCTACAAATGATGGTAACTGCAGTTTTTTTCCAACAAGAAAATCTGCCTCAAAAAAGAAGTAAGGAGTAAGGCATGAGATACAGTAATTTTTTATCTCAATCTTCACATTTAGCAACTTAATATTACCACAGCAGCACCTATCCAATGCAGACCGCTTTTGACATGTTGACATTTAGTAACTTACAATGAAACATTTTGAAATGAATGTAATAAGTACTTGACTTCATCAAAATAATTTTAGATGAAAAGTGGCTGTAAATGGCTTACCACTCAGATAATCCATGATGAAGGAATACAAATGTGATCTGGAAACTTCTCCAGTAGGTTCTTTCTCTAGTAATAACCTTATAGATCCGTGAAACATTAGAAAAAGAGAGTGGATTTCCTTAAGAAGCTTCTGCAATGCATCTGTCCGCCAAATTGCTTCTACCTCCTTGTTTTTCTCCACTACCTACTCTAACATAGAAAACTCATTAGAAATACAGAGCTATTAAATCTTAAAAGTGCTTATTTTAGAGAATAAAAGAACACTTAGAACTACGAAAAGCAAGACTGGAAATACAGCATGGGTCTCTTGCAACTACATACATGATTGAAACAAAAGAGACCAAAGAAAAATGGTAGCGAACTTTTCTCAATAAGAAACTTGATGTGGTAAACAATATTCTACCATATTGAACTTTCTTCATTCCTAAGAAGGCTAAAGTAAAATATGAGCATTTATTCTAACCATATTTCAACACAAGCAATGATATCACCACAAACAATCAACAAGTATTATAAACAAAACTCTAATGCCTGAAAGTAACTCAGAATTCTAGCCTCTAGGATATCATGCCTCATGTTAAATGAAAATCAGGAAACTTTAAAAGTAAGACTAGTGCAGAAAAGAGGGGGAAAAAAACAAAATAAAGAAGCCAATGCTAAAGTAAATCTGTAATTAAATTATCAAACAGATCAACAATGTTTCCATTTAAGTGACAACAGGCTAGCACGTTACTTGCATGGATGATAAACAAAATATGTGACTATCTGAATGTAATAACCCCCAAACAAAAATTACTACTACTATGTACTGATACATTATTTAGAACAAAACTAACAGTACCAAAACCATCCATATATCTGGCTCTGCCTCAAAAAATACATGGGAATGCTTCTCCGCTTCAATGACCTCACAAGCTGCCTCTGGAGAGAATGTTCTGCATGAAGTTTTCATTTTTCATTTAACCACCAACAACAAAGAAGAAAATGTAAATTGTAAATATATTGAAGGAATCTTTGAGTGACCACTTAAATCTACTAGGCTTACGAAGTTATCTCATTAAAACTATATTAAGACAAGTAGGGCTAACTGTCAAGTAACTCTCAAATTTTTGCTACAGAACATAATTTGAGGAGTCCACGGTGAACTTGTATATAGTTGTATAGTGAAAGGATTGTTTTCTATCCAAAAGATAGATATGCATGCATTATAGTTTATTTGTCTTTCATACGTATATTACATGTATAAGTAAAATAGAAAGAGGGGTAAAAGAAGGAAAAAAAATGTAACAATGCTTAGACCTTGTGAATGGAAGAAATGAACAATAAATGGACAAATTAACAACCTAAGAAAGCAAGAAATTTCACTCAGAGAAAAAGTTTATTGCTTATTTCATTACTAGTTCCCAACGTTCACGGAGCTATTACTGTCATTCTTATTTCTTCTGCCCTTCTAATATTTCTGGATAGTGGTCTATTTAAATAAATAACAAAAAAACAAAAAAAAAAGAAGAATGATACTGACCTTGTAAATGTAATAAGTCCTTCACTAAGCCCAATAATATACAGTTGTTTTGTAAAGGGTAAATCAGCTGGAAAGAAAAATAATATCTTATCCAGCTCTTGCCCCTCCTGTTGTCCCCTCCTAGAATCAAAGACGCAGAGTTGAATGGCCTCGGAAACAGCAGTAGTAGCAGTCGACAGGCCCATTATTCACCTTTTTTAGTTAACAACCTTCAGAAAGGGTAAAAATCAATTAGAGTTTTCAAATCTGGGACACTGCTCAACCAATCCTACATATATGTCAAGCTGGAACGATAAAAATGAATCAACCGTAAACTGTTGAAAGATTTGTATGAATCACTAAACTTTCAGACTTCATAACAATTACTGAACACAATAGTTATATGTATAAGGGACAACACCGTGTAAAATTTAGAAAAATGACTAAATTGCATTGAAGTCATCTAGCCCCAAATAGAAAGTGATTATTGCAAATTAATACGAGTTCTTAAAACTTTCCCAAAACTAAGATTCAAATGTAAAGACCTCAATCTAGCTGAGTTCGTTAAAGATGGGTATAATTCACAGAGTTCAATACCAGTAGACTGGAAAAGAGAGCAAGTGCTGAACCCATATCCAGGCAAAATTTTGAAGAGCGACTAAATTCCATGGAACTCATCCAGCCCCCTAGTTAATACGAGTTCTTCCAAATTCCAGAAAACTAATATCCAAACGGAAAGACCAAAATCTAGTTGAATTTCATTAAAAATGGGCGTAATTCACTCAGTTCAACACCACTAGACTTGAATTCAAAGAAGTTAGACGTACCCGTACAGAAAAAGCAATTGAAGCATGCGAAGTAGCGCTCACAAGGAAACGCTAAACCCGAATGCTTGGTGATCGGAGATTGGTGGCGAGCATTGGGAGAATTGAGCCGCGCGGCTCAAAAATGAACTCGTTTGAGCCCCGACGGAGGTCAATTCTCCGGCAACAACTTCAGAAGGGGATACCGATCGGAGAGAGAGATCTAGGTGGTCTGAAATTACCTGAATCCAAGCCGAAGATCTTCCAAAGTCGAAGAATATGAGTGTCCACTGCAGTCAAATAATATAATTTAGGGTTGATTGGTCGCGTAATTGGGGCTGAATGCCCTCTGCAGCTAAGAACAGAGAACAGAACAAAAAACAAAGGGCTCGGTAATGGCACGTGGGAAATGAGACTAACACGTGTGGCTTTTGGGTGGTATGGATTTGATTATTATTATTTTTACTGGGATAAAATACACTCTTTCGTTTTGAGATTTTTTTATTTTTAGGCACTCTTTGGTTTTGAGATAGAGTTTAAAAAACCGTCTTTTTTTTTCCTGAAATTTAAATTTAGTTTTTATAAATTTTATAGAAGGAGGGAGAGATCTTTGGGAGGAGATTTGATCTTATTATATTTCATTTTTGCTTGGGGTCTCCACTGGATTGTATACATTTCATATATTCTTTAGTTCAAACTTCAATGATTAAATATGTTATTTTTAAAATTTAATGGCTAAATAAAAACTAAATTTAAATTTAAAAGACTAAAAGTGATGATTTTTTTTTATCTTATTGATCAAATAAAAACTATGTCCAAACTTCAATATATTTATTATTATTATTATTATTTTTTACTCAAACAAAAGGAGATTTAATTGTCTTTTTTATTTCAATAATTGTAAAGTGAGGGATTCAACCAACGACTTTTTAGATGGTAATATGTGTTTATTTACTTAGTTATGATTGGATTGAATTCTTCTCTTACTTTACTTTTTCATAAAATTTATTAGTATTTGGTTAAATTATTGGTCTAGTATGAACTTTTATGGTTACATGTTAATAGATTCATAAACTTCCAATTTTTTATGATGTACTATCTTCACTGATATATTAAACATAAGATTTTGTACTAAAAAATATATATTATACATGAGATTTAAAACTTAAGAATTTATTAGCCATTTTTTTTTTTAAGTTTAGACACCTAGGCTTAGTTTGGAATTGCTTTAATTTTCTTGAATGATTGCTCTCAACTGTATTTTTATAAAATTCATCTTTAATATGAAGTAAATTAGTTTTTGGTAAAATTTAGTTTTAAAAATAAAAGGGCATGTAATAGTATTTGGTTAATTAATATGAAATTCCTTTTAAAAATCAATTATGCATCATTTTGTGTTTTATATCTAATTTTCAATTTTTATACAAGATAATTGTTCAAATTTTAATATAATGTAAATTTTAAATTATATTTTGTTTTTTGTTTTTTGTTTTGTTTTTTGATTATCCAAGAGTCAACGGTCCTTTGATTTTTATATCCCTTTGTGTCCCATGTGGCTTGAACCCAAAACCAATATTTTGTTTATTTTAAATTCGATGCAAAGGTTACTTGACGAGTTTAAGTTAAGTTAAAGATGAAATGAAAGTGAAAGGTTGTTTCTAGAGATAAAATGAAAAGGTTAAAAAAATAATGATTATTCGAAAGTAGACAGAAGGTATTACATTATATCAGTCATACTAACCTTAATCTTAATTATGCTTTAATAATTATGTTTAGTTGTATATACTTGTGTCTTATGATATTAGTTGATTAGTTAGCTTAATTAGTTAAAAATATATTTATATAGCCAAAGCGAGCATAGTTGAGCGATAATTGACATATATTTTCAACCACGACGAGGTTGTGAGTTTGATCCCCTGCCTCCACATGTCGTATAAAAAAATGTATTTATAACCCTCTCTCTGCCATATTGAAAACAGGAGAATCGGAATATATTTAGCGTATCGGAGACCATAACCCTTGTATTTAATTTATAAACTCTTCCACGGATTCCCATTAAGCCTAGTAAAAGTAAATGGGTATCCACCTAAAAAAACGTAATGTTCCACGATCTCTATCTCATACTTCTGTCATTCTACTGTATCTTCTTCTTTTAAGCTCTTTCTTCTTTCTTTGCAACAATGGTGAATGTAGCAATCACAATTCTATATGGCGGTACGTGGAATGAAAAAAAATACAACAATTTCAACATCTCTTAGATGTTAGTTCGAAAGGATCACACCTTATTGAAGACATTGAGAAGAATATTCATTTACAGATGAGGAAAAAATTTATCCATATCGTTGGTCAAAAATGATAGTCACATGTCTTTTATTATAAGACTAGCTGAACATAGGGATGTCACATGGTTTTTAACTGTGTTGTCGAATGAGTTTGAGACAAAGTACTGCATTGTCGTTGATACTGTGGATACCCGTATTGACTCCATAGATGGAAATGGGAAACCATGTCGGACGAATGTAAATATCAACATTTACCCTATCTATGAGAGTTCTACACAAGTGCAGTCTACACTAGATATATTGTTGTAGATACTCCCATTGACCCTATGAATGGAAGTGAGACATCAGTACAGAGATCCCACCATAAATGCAAAGAACTCATACTAATTGATCCGAGTCAAATTAATGGTTTCCCGTCCAACTTTGTACTGAAAAAAGATTGTGCTTTTCTAAGTAAGGAAGAATTGAAGAAGGCAGTTTACTCTGTAGCCTTAAATAGTAGTTTTCACTTCAAAACAGTAAAATCACACAAAAAATAATTGGTATTAAAATGTTTAGACGAATTATGCAATTGGTACCTCTGCTCTTCTCGTTACTTAGAAGGTAAAATACGAGTTATTAGGAAATTTGTGGAGGAACATAGTTGTTCTATTGATGTTGTAAAGAATGATTATAGGCAGGCAACCTCAATAATAGTTAGTCAGTGTGTAAAAACAATCATGGACATGAAAGGTAGTTATAGTCCTCGGGACATTATTAAATTACACTCGAAAGAACGATGGTGTTAATATTAGTTATTACAAAGCTTGGAGAGGAAAAGAGAAGGCAACAGAATCAACTATGAGGTCACCCGAAGAGTCGTACACGCTCATTCCGTCGTTTGCATCAAAGTTGATCGATTATGAGGTCACCCAAAGCTAATGTATATATATTTATTGATATTGTAGATCTGTTGTATATATGTATATGTACCAAACGTTATCATTACTGTATATTTTTTTAATTGATTCTTCAATTTAGGTGTATATGTGTACATTTATCAATAATTATCATGCATGGACGTATACAGCTCATGAGGTCGACGCAATAGGCAGATTCGAATATTTCTTTATGAGTTTGTCTGCTTCTATAGAAGGACGGAAATACTGCTTTCCTGTTAAAACGCGTGTTGGGGCGAGTGAAGTCAAACCCTAATACGTTGAAATCAAAATAAAGAAAAGTTACGATGAATTATTCTTTAATTATATTTACTCTCCTATTTGAAAATTTCTATTTTAGATGGGTAAATTTCAAAATCTACCACAATACAGTCTTACCAATTTTTTTTAAATCTACTCTCAAATTCTAATTAGTAATTTTAAATCAGATTTAAGATAATTATTTTAATTTCATTTATTTTTTTGTTACATGCAATTAATTCCCTAATATTAAGCCTCATTGTTTTTGCTATTTGTAAAATTCTAAATCCCTAAAATGATGCATATATACCTAATTGGTTTGGTTGCAAGGGTTTATTTATCTAAACATTTTCTCCGTATTAAAAAAAAAGGTCATTTAGCTGTATTGCAATATCTCGACCATTTATTAAAACGTGTTATTAAATTTTGCTATTCCTGCCATTGCCCTAATAAAAATCCATATTCAATAAAAATCATGGACCATCACTTAACTATCACTTGGCCCATCAAATAGTCCAATAATAATAATTGTATTAATATGTGGTCCACAATTTATTATTAGAATATAAATATTCGAACGTATCGACTAAGAAAACAATAGGGAGAGAGAAAGACAATAGGGGCAGAGAGGCAAAGAGGGAAAAGTGGTTTCACAAACAGTGGCTACTTCTACTTTACTAAAGCAGGATCCACTCAAGATAATTATCAATAACAGAAAATTTATTTCTCTTCTAACATTTGTTAGAAGGTTATGACAATTTAGTAAAAGAAGAAAAATAATAATTTCATCTAAAATTTAGTTTTGAGATATCTAATCCAATAAAGAATTTAGAGGTGGTATTGTAACTACATTTTAATGGCTGTCTCAGTTTTTATGGTGATTTTTTAAATTTGTTTTTGGTCAAGTGATTTGAAATAGTCTTTTAAATAAGTAAAATTTTTAAGGATAAGGCAAGACAAATAAATCAATATGGATTATGAAGTTCTAAATATTTTCTTAAAAATATAGTTTAAGTGGTTTGAAATTAGTACCTCTAAGTTGTAAGTTAAAATTATTTTAGAAAATATTTCAACAAACCAAAAATTTTAAATAATATCTTATACATTCTCTAATAAGTGAAAGGAGTTTTGTAAAGATTCGAGAAATGTTGTATTTTATTTTAATGTTGATGAAGCATGTCCTCGAGTAAAAAAAGGGAAAAAAGAGAACAATAGATCTGAATTTATGCTGATAACTTCAAATTAAAATAGTCATAATCATTTCAATATAGATATTTTTTTTAGTTCTAAAATATGAAGTGGAGATTTAAAAATATGACGCTTAAGTAAATATAAATGTTTAACTATTTAGTTATGCTCCAATGGACAGCTTAAACATATAGTTCCAAATCAAAATGCAATAAACTATTAGAAGATAATCAAAATTTTACCTTACATTATATAATATCCACTAAATGGTTTCATATGATTTTGGGGCAAATCCACTTTTCGAGATGGTTTTGGATGAACCTCGTGAAATAGAGAAAAGAAAACACATACAAATAAGATATCCCAAGAATTGCACAAGAAGATGAATGGAGGGGAAGGAGGATAAATGAAAAACAAATATTATTATTATTATTATGTTAAAATGAGCCTAGTCTAGCGGTAATTGACATATATCTCAAACCAAGAGGTTGTGACTTCGATCCTCCACCTCTACGTGTTGTATTAAAAAAAATATTATATTATTTTTAGAAAAATAAACTTCATTAGAGACAACATATGAGGTTTAAAAAATAATAATGATAAAGCTACATGCTTTAGATTAAAAAAATGACATGGTTGCAAAGACGACAAGCGGGGACAACTAGGAAAATAAAAAGAGTATTTTTTTTTCTTTAAAAATTTGAGGATTGC